GCCAGGGAACGTGGAGCCTTGGCAGGCAGGCCAGATGCCAGGCCAGGACAGAGCAACCCTCTCACAGCCTTCCTATGTTTCTGTCAGCTCTAGCAAAGGGGGGAATGAAAAAAAAAGAGCTTGTTAAGTCTCATACAGCTTTCAGATCAAATTTTTATCCTGTTTCACTTTGGAAGTCTCTTGAACAAGCTCAGTGCTTCAAAGCTGAGGCTGCAAATCTCCCAGGGAAGGTTCCTGTGTTTAATAAGCTGTTTTGACTGGAATTCAAAGAGAAAGTAAAGACTTCTGTTGGCTTAGCTGTAGAAAATGCGGCCCAGACCTGTAACCTCATATCTGACCAGACAAAAATGTGTACTCTGTTAAAAATTGGAGATTTCTCAGAAACATTGGCATTAGAATAGCTCTGGTTCCCCTGAAGTCAATAGCAAAAAGTCTCATCATCTCTAATGGAAATACCTGTGACTAACTTTATTTGGAAAGAAGGTGCTGGAAGGCGGTGCCATAACACTGACATAACAAACCTGTAAGTTATATAGTGGCTCAGCTACTGGGCAAAATAGTTTATTCTTTTCAACGATTCCACCACAAAATTAACCCTTGAAGGGCTTCGTATGCTAAAAGCATGCTGAATGCTGACAGGCAGGGAAGCACAGAGCAACAGAAATACTATTAACACGATACAATGCTTATAATTAACTTATAATAAGATGGAACCATGACTTATGCGATTCAGACTTTCTTGAATGACCTGAGTGAAATTTTGGTGGTTTCTGAGGACCCTGTCAAGTTTCCCTGGTGCCTCATCTCCAAGGCCTTCAAGCACGAGGTTGCACATCACCCCTGTTAACTGCACCAGAAGTCCTGGAAACAGTGGATCAGTCCTTCCTACCACTGCTGCAGTGAGACATGTACTCATACCACTTCCCTTGGTGCTCACACTTTCCATCCTAGGGCACACAGATACAAAAATAAATACTGCATCAAGACAGTGAATGTCTCCAGAGGATTTCACTAAATGAAAAATGAAATCTAACCCCAGCAGAGACCCCTTTGCTGTGACAGGTCTTGTTTTCTTTAAGTTTTGTTTTTCTTCCTCTAACACAAATATGATCCATCATCCGCCCAAATTCAAACCTGATGTAGACTTTCAAAAACTGCTTCCAGCTAACTGTGGTACTTGAATTGCAGTCAGTCCTTTCCCATCTATTCTTGTTAATGTCTCTATTCACCAAACTTTCCCTCACAATTAAATTCCCATATTTGAAAGTTAAAGTGACAGAAGTGAACAGCCCTGCCTGAAGAAAGCATTAGTCCTCACATTTCTGCCAGCGTGGATAGGAACATATATGCCCTTTGCAGGCTGGAAGGTCCACTGTAAAAGTTTCCAAAATCCACCTGTTTTGATTAGTATGGTTTGCGTGCAGGAGGCCAGAGAGAGTAAAATATAGAGCTTTCATTTCCCCTTTGATTTCAGCACTTCTTTTCTACTAACTGCCCCATTTCCTGATTCATCTACATCAAAGTTAGTAAAATGAAAACACTCCTGGAAACCTACAAATCAATAGATAAAATAACTGAGGTTGATCAATTTGCTAAGATCAGAAGGACTAGTTGCAATTTTCAAATGACTGAAGAGTATACATGCTTATTTTTATAGCAAACTCATCAGTTATCCCAGGATTCCAAAACTCCTCATTAAAAAAACAGGTTTTTAAATTTTCCAGTAGGTATTACTACTAGCGCTGGTTAGAAAATACGTTTTTCCCACCTTGGAACATAATGACGGCAATGATTCAAATACAGAAAAATGTGACCCAAAGTAGCTGAATTTAAATCTAGACTTTCACAGCTCCCATGAAGCATCATGGGGAAGCAAACAAAGTACATCATCTGAAACCAAGTCCTGCCAGAAATTTCAGACAATAGGGCAGAATCAGCCCAAAAGACAAGTCAGTTTTAGCTCTTGTGATGTTCTGCAGCAGCATTGAAAAGAGAAATGTTCTGAGTTAAATGCAGTTCCTTAGTCTACAGACAGGCAAAATTCCCTATAGAAAGCTCATATCTTCTGTAGTTTGGGCTTTTTTTCTTGTCAAAGACCAGTCCTATTTCAAAAAAGATTTTGATAAAAACCTTCAGACAATCAGCTACATATAATAACAGATAAAAAACTCACTTTACCATTAGGACAACTGAGACACAGCAGTAAGTAGTGGTTATAGATTAACTTTGTGGTAGACCTGTGGGCTACATCTCCAGCATTTACCCTGAGCAGCTGCCAATGATCAGTTTGATCCTGATCTCTTGATTCCAAGTTTGGCATCCAAATAAATATTTTGGCCAGTAGAATTTACTTTAATTTAGTTCAGAAATTTTCTCTCCATTCCTTCATAACATGACATTATCAAAAGCAAGCAAACCAAAGGGACAGAATCTAAATCTCCCTTAAATTTGAGTAACACAGGAGCAGCTTACATCCAAGTTAAACACAGTATAAAATGAAGTAAGTGGAATCAGAATCTAGCAAAAGTTGCAAAAGTAGAAAAACTACCAACACAAGAAATTTTTCATAGGGTTATTTGTTTTTTGTATTGGAGATTGGGGAATATCAAGGCACTAAGACAATGTCAACGCTCTGCTGGGGCAGCGATTCTTTCCCTATGTGTTTGCGCAGTGCCTCGAACAAGGAAGCTCCAGTCTCAGCTGAAGTCTATAGTCATTAAAGGAATGGTAGTGCTAACAGTTGTGTACCACCCTCTAGATAAGCAACGTATGTGCTCCAGGTGGCTCACAGTCTAAGTGAAGAACGCAAAGCATGGGAGGAAGCAACTCTTATTTATACCATTTAAAGGAGGAAGACCAAGGTCCAGAAATCTGAACAAGGTCATATATTGCCAAGAACTGAATCAAGGTTTCCTCAGTCCCCATCTAATGCTTCAAATGGGGGGCCATCTATCTTCTCTCTCAAGGAGAGAATCATAAGCATAAAAGGCATGCCTTTGATGCACTGACAAATCACCTGCCATCAGACGGTTGTTTATCTCATAAAAACATTCATTCTGTCATAAAAGTGGGTTTCCTGATTAAATAATAGAACTAAATAGGGGTTGGTATTGGGACCGGCACTGTTTAACATCTTTGTCGGCGACACGGACAGTGGGATCGAGTGCACCCTCAGCAAGCTTGCCGATGACACCAAGCTGAGTGGTGCGGTTGACACGCTGGAGGGAAGGGATGCCATCCAGAGGCACCTGGACAGTTGGGCCCATGCGAACCTCATGAAGTTCAACAAGGCCAAGTGCAAGGTCCTGCACCTGGGTCAGGGCAATCCCAAGCACAAATTGGGCGGAGAGTGGATTGAGAGCAGCCCTGAGGAGAAGGACTAGGGGGTGTTGGTTGATGAGAAGCTCAACATGACCCAGCAATGTGCGCTTGCAGCC